CCTTAATGTAATAAGTCCGAATCGTTCGTACTATACAACTCCAATGTAATCCCTCCTTGGTGCCAACTATCTCCTATTAATGGCTACGATCTGGTTGTTGTTCGGGGTGGGATTGGCGGTGGTGTTCGAGGCGGCGATGCTCGGTGGTGGATGACATTTCCGGTGGCTGGCTTGGATCTCTGTCGATGGAGGAGATTTCAGTAGAAGCTTCTCGGTTGGTTGTTCTGTGTTTTTTTGAGGCTTCACTGTTGTGGGGCCTCTTTCTTGTTTTCTTTTGGTTTCAGGCCTTTTTGGCTGTGTATAGTTGTAAGTTGCATATTTGGTTTGCTTGTAATTTTGGACTTGTTTAATAAAAGTGAGGGAGTTTTGACTGTAGTTTTGCTACAGTCAAACTTTTTCCAAAAAAAAAAAAAAAAAAAGAAAAAAAAAATGTTCCGGTTGCAGGCACCAAATTTTCACTGTTTCTATGCGAGATGTTGTGTAGTTATACTTGCGCTGGACTTGCACATGATATGTGGTTTCTAATCGGATGTACTGTTATAGCCATGCGGATGCGTACGTAGTTTATAGGACAACTGGTTTTACAAGAGTCTACCATAATCTAATCTAGTCCGTTCTAATTTGAGGCATGAACGTTATCTTTTGTAAGTTTATTACAAGGTTATGCAAGGTTGTCTGTGTGAGCGTTATTTTTTCGTTTGGTTAGATATGGTTACGTGGGTTAGTATTGTATTATCTTTCAGTTATGTTTGTACTTATGTTCCTAATCAATTATGTTCCTCATTTTATTTGATTAATGAAATATTTATTACATTAAAATCAGTTAAACAAAATATTTCGTAATTCGACGCAATTCTAATACATATTTGTTTCTTCCTTGGAAAACAAAGAAACCTACAGAGAACAAAACACAAGGCAAGTTCAATAAGTAAACCTCATTAAATACGTAAATCAAATTAAATAAGTAAAACCTAATTCCTTGGAAAACAAAGAAACCTACATTTCTACTCTAATATCCGAGTGAGTGGCTTATCCCCTTCCTCTGCTCACCTCTTACCTTCTCCATCAAGCTCTCTCTCTCTCTCTCTCTCTCTAACCTGACCTTCCTCCATGGATCCTTACAGGGTACTACTCTAATCTTAATCTTAATCTTTCTGGGATGTTTTCTTTTTTACTTGTTTATGCTCTTAATTGATTTATTTAAGTTTGATTTTCTTGTTTATTTTCTCGGCTACCAAACAGAGCCCTCTCTAATGGATTTGGGTTGGTTTGTTTTTGTGTGTTGTTGCAGCACCGCCCTTCAAGTGCTTTCAATTCCCCGTTCTGGACCACCAATTCCGGTGCTCCAGTTTCGAACAACAACTCTTCTCTGACTGTTGGACCCAGAGGTGATTTGATTCTTAATCCACTTTTAATTTATCTATTTGTTTATTTTCTTTTGACAGATTTTCAATTGCAAATTTGCTTCAAGTTTTACTTTTTTTTGTGTTTTTTTAGTTGCACATCGCTTTTCAAGCACCTTGTGAATAATCGTAATCATGTTTTGATGCTGTAATCTGTGTATGCATCGATATTCTGTCTATGTTATTGTGATCTACAAGATGAAGATGATTACTATTTTGAAACTCTTGTTGTTTTTCATTGTTTTTCGGATATATATATGCACGCACGCACACACACACACACACACACATATATAGTTTGTATTTGAAGTTAGAACTTTCCCTATTTGACATTAATGTCTAAATTTCTCAACTATAGTTCCCAGTCTGTTGGTTTTCAATGAATTCCTGCGGGTCCCTTTTTTTCATTGCTTCTCGGGTTGTCAAGATGATTTTTTGATCGTCTGGTTGCCTGAAACTAAATAAAAGTTACTATCTTTGCAAGTGAGAGCAGTCATCTATACTTGACATACTTTATAAAATGTATAACCGCTAATTTCATTCTTATCACATCTTTTGCATGTAATCAGGATGGTTGATTATGTCGAGTTGAGTAGATGCAGTTAAGAATTTAATTCTTTGTCTATTTGTCAGGTCCAATTCTGCTTGAGGACTACCATCTGGTGGAGAAACTCGCCAATTTTGATAGAGAACGGATCCCAGAGCGTGTTGTCCATGCTAGGGGAGCTAGTGCAAAAGGTTTCTTTGAGGTCACCCATGACATTTCTCATCTTTCATGTGCTGACTTCCTTCGAGCCCCTGGAGTTCAGACACCTGTCATTGTGCGTTTCTCCACTGTTATCCATGAGCGTGGCAGCCCTGAAACCCTGAGGGATCCTCGTGGTTTTGCAGTGAAGTTTTACACCAGAGAGGTGAGGTTTCAATGGCTTATTGATGTTTTATGACCTCTGGATAATGATAGTTGAGTTTTGACACGTCGATGATCGTAATTATATTCAACAGCATATTTATAGTTGAAAATATGCAGTGGTATCTCGAGTCACAGCTCCAGTGACAAAGACTTTAGTCATATTTAACTAAACCCAGTAGTCTTGTGACTTCCATGAAATATGACATTCATCCTTTTCTTTTCTTTTTTTAAATATTGTTTTGATTCTACAGATTGTTGATTTCTTTGTAACATTATTATTAACTAACTCTTGGAAATCATTTGGTCCTAATGTTTTTGCTTGTTTATACCTGCATTCCTTTCTTTACTCATGCCGTGACTTTATTTTTCTTAAACAGGGTAATTTTGACTTGGTGGGAAACAATTTCCCCGTCTTTTTTGTCCGTGATGGAATGAAATTCCCAGACATGGTCCATGCTCTCAAACCGAACCCTAAGTCCCACATCCAAGAGAATTGGAGGATCCTTGACTTCTTCTCCCACCATCCAGAAAGCCTGCACATGTTCACCTTCCTATTGGATGACCTGGGAGTTCCACAAGATTACAGGCACATGGAAGGGTCTGGTGTTAACACCTATACTCTTATCAGTAAGACCGGGAAGGCACACTATGTGAAATTTCATTGGAAACCCACTTGTGGAGTCAAGTGTTTGTTGGAGGATGAGGCTATTAAGGTTGGAGGAGCTAATCACAGCCACGCTACCAAGGATCTCTATGACTCCATCGCAGCTGGCAACTACCCGGAGTGGAAACTCTTTATTCAGACAATTGATCCTGATCATGAAGACAGATTTGACTTTGACCCACTTGATGTTACTAAGATCTGGCCTGAAGATATTCTTCCCCTGCAGCCAGTTGGACGTTTGGTACTGAATAAGAACATTGATAACTTCTTTGCAGAGAATGAACAACTTGCTTTCTGCCCTGCCATTGTTGTCCCTGGTGTCTATTATTCAGATGATAAGTTGCTCCAAACTCGAATCTTCTCCTATTCTGATACTCAGAGGCACCGTCTTGGCCCGAACTATCTGCAGCTCCCAGTTAATGCTCCCAAGTGTTCTCATCACAACAATCACCATGAAGGATTTATGAATTTCATGCACAGAGATGAGGAGGTACTTTTGCTCTTTTGAATTTCTTTTCCAAGTACGATACCACTTTTTCCCTCAATTGCTGACGCTTATTGAATATCTTTGTGCCTTTTTACACTTGCATTGCTAAAGATTCAGACATGTGCTTAAATTTTCACTTGTTTGTTCATCAAAGTTTTCTCTGCTCAGATGCCATACTGTTTTCTGTAGGTTAACTACTTCCCATCAAGGTATGATCCTGCTCGCCATGCTGAGACCTTCCCAATTCCTTCTAATATTTGCACTGGAAAGCGTGAGAAGGTCAGTTTGTATCAATTTAGAAGAATTCATTTAAATTTCCCTTAGTTTTCCCATGTTCTTGTTTTTCTGTGTTTCTCTTTTTACCTGAAACTTGAAAGCACTTGGAATGTAAAAAGTTAGATACATGCATGAATGCTTTTTGCATATCTGAATCCTTTTGGTGTGCTGCACATCATGATTCATGTAGCAACTTTGCGTTTAATTTGTGTATGGTGGTTTTGTTGGATATGCAGTGCGTCATTGAGAAGGAGAACAACTTCAAGCAACCTGGAGAGAGATACAGATCTTGGGCACCCGACAGGTAGCTGCCAACCCTATGATGTCTCTATGTGGAAATAAATGTATTTAAACGTCATGTTCATAATCTAAATGTTAATTGCAGGCAAGAGCGATTCCTCCACCGATGGGTTGATGCCCTATCTGATCCTCGTGTCACCTATGAAATTCGCAGCATTTGGATCTCATACTGGTCTCAGGTGAGTGCATACGTGCAAAGTATTCGCATTTGTGAATTGGTATAATTGGATGTGATTTTTTACTGGAATATGATGTGTGCTGGTGGTAATTGAAATGCAGGCTGACGGATCTTTTGGTCAAAAACTGGCATCTCGTCTTAACGTGAGGCCGAGCATTTGAGGGTGATGCCAATGCAAGATGTTTGAGTTTCGATAAGACATAGTGAAAGGAAAATGTGGGATCAAGTGTTAAATTGTTTATCCTCGTGTTGTGATACTGTTATACTAAATTTCGCATGTAAGTGACGTGTTGCCTCAATGTAATAAGTCCGAATCGATGGTACTACGCAACTCCAATGTAATAAGTGCCGGTTGCAGGCGCCAGTTTTCACTGTTTCTATACAAGATGTGTAATCATACTTGTGCTTGACTTGCATATGATATGTGGCTCCTAATCGGATGTACTTTTATGGCCATGCGGATGCGTACGTAGTTTATAGGCTTCTAATCTAACCCATTCAAATTTGACGCGTATTGTATCATCCTTTATACATATGAACTTGTATTCCTGATCAATGATATTCCTTATTTTATTTGATTACTGAAATATTTAAGGCCGAGTTTCGACCTAATCCTCCCGCTTGTTTTACTATGTCTTCATATTATTAATAAAATAAAATAGAGGGGCCCGGCGGAGGGTTCAAGGTACAACAGTCCTTTCCCCATTACCTCGCACACGTCAATTGTCGTAGAACTAGTCTCGCCTAATATTTTTCTATTTTCATATGGAAAAAAATAGACGTGCAAATTAATATGAAGTTTTCCATTTCTTTTATTGGAGCTACATATGAAGATTATGAATGATACACCTGAAAAAGATTTCTTTAATACACAACACTATTTCTCCCGTTCTTAATATGGATCGGCATTCGGTACAGCCTCTCCTCCGTGTACAAACATGGATGCAGTCCTCTTCCTGTCTATTCATGTAGGTAAGTTAGGAACTAATTCGTTTGTCAGATACTTTCCCATACTCCTCGTCTTTGTATTTCCTTTGACAGATCCACGTACAGATATTGCTCCGTTTATCTTACGGTGGTGGGTGATCGTCCTCACGGGTTTGAGGAGGGATAGGTCTCCAACCTGGTTTCTCATCCCAGTACATGTCATAGTATATGTGACCAGGAGTGTGTTCAGCCACACAACACCATATACCAACATACCGCTTCGCACGATTCCTGAATTTCTCTTCCCTTGCCTGACCATAAATTTCGCAAAGCGTCAGATCAGCGCATGATAACGAAGCATGTGGTGCATGTACAACCAAAGTAAGAAAGAAAAGCCGAATAAGATTGACGAAAAGACTTGCCTTGTCGGTGAAACCTGGGAATGCATCTTGCATAGAAGAAAACTGAATTACTTTTACATCCTTGAACGAGGAGAATACAGTCTTGAACTGCATATACAAGTGAAATCCAATATCGTGTAAGTCACTCAGAACACCAGGATTCAAAAGACACTACTTATTAATAGGGTTAAGAAGGAACAGGGTTTGTTACACATATAAAACATACATATATTAATCTGTACACTCTTCCAAGAGAGAAATAAAATGAACTCACACACGCACACACGTATCACATTACCGTTTCTTCGTTGCTTCTCTTTGGAAATCTGAGTGCTCCTGAAGGGGTGGTAGTATTTGAAGCTATGCAATCTCGCGTTCCTTGTTGACAAAGCTGGACATCAAGCCATGAGTCCTTCACCTAAAACAAAATTCATAAATGAAGTTGTCTACTCTTAGCTACAGAATCAATGGAACCGATTCTTTTGACTTAAAAAATTTCATAGATACCCATTTACCTGTTTTGGCATCAATGGATTGTCAAAGAATGAGTATTCTCTAACACCGATTGGGGGCCCAAATATCTCCGCTGGCAATTCCTTAAGCATGACATTCACCTGCGACACAGTACACTTTTGTTAGCTACCACCTCCAGAAGGGATTTCACAGTAGGACCTTGAGATACACCAATGTTCCTATGAATTATTTGTGCAATTCTTGGAAGCTTCACTCTGTACAAACCCATTAATCTAAACAGTGGAACTTAATCAGTTTAAACGAGATGTAAGATTTGACAAATGACAAAGGTGAAGGAAAAAAAAACTAGAAAATCGATTGTACACAGGTAGGTGTAGGAAAATAATTAAATAACCGCTGTATGCCTCTTTTTCTCTCCTTGAATCTTTTTTTTTCTTTCCAGTTTATAGAAATTTCAGCTTCTCAAATATCCAATCCAACCATGAATTTTCCTTGAAACTTCTCATGTTCTGTTAATCAGGGATTAGAGAGTATTTTGTAGCGCAGCCACTTTTAAATGTTTATAATAAAAAGGGTCCACACATAGGATAGAGAAAAAGGAAAATTATGGAAACACATCTTGTGGTTAGATTGTAAAACATGTATTGTCCTCAGGCATCATGGCACTTATCGTTTATTTCATTCATCAGTACTTAATATGAAAATTGATGGAAGAGAAGTAGAGATTAGGTATGATTTTTATGGCGTCTTACCAAAATCATGTGCTGCAGACGTGCTTAATTACTACCAAAGTCAACTTTTTTATGTAGCAGGGGAAACCACATAGGTATCTATGTGACAAAAATAAAACATTTTATAAGGCCGAAGTTGCGACTGGTTTATCTGTAGTTTAGCTGAAAAAGACATTGTATTACCAGTTGACTATTACGATGTGTATAAATACAGAAAAATACCTCAGGTGAAGCCGATTCCCTAAACCATCATAAGTGCGGTTGCACCACATCCAACCAAAAACAAATGAGAGAAAAGACACTACTAGAAACCATCCCCTCTAAGGAAACCCCACAACCCCACAACCCCAACACCCCCCCCCCCCTCTCTTCCCCTTTTGCAATAAATCATGCTCAGAAATGGCAACTGGGATATCGTAACGAGATGCAATCAGAAAATTCAACTGACACTTCTAGTAATCCTAATAGGTTTTTAGCAAGGGTAGTAACAACAAAGTAATCAGCACAAATAGTCATTCAGACTCCATCACATACTTATATTGTGGAGAGGGGAAAAGTCTAAAATTCTAATCGAGCCCATTGCAAGGAGGACCAAGTTGATAATACGATCACTACTTTTTGTCCCATTTCATTGTAATTCAACTCACTATTCCAAACAATTAAACTCTAGCAGAAAAAGAGCCTTGAGTTAATATGGTAACTGACTCAATTTAGAAAATGCAACTCATATCCTGCTGTTTTTTTTTTGTCTTACACATTCTGCTATTTTAGTACAAAGGCTGATTTAATACAAAATTCTACCAAAGGAATGGCAACTGTCTTACAAGAATTTTTTTTCAAGCAATCTTGTCTACTGTGGAAGCAAAGATAACAAACTGTATAAAGTTAGCTCTGACAAATTGGACATACCTCAAACACATGATCTAGAGGGCAAATAAAAGGTTGTCTAGTGATAGATCCCTCAAGAACGCCAGGGTGGGGAAACCACAGCCTATCCAACCTGCACCATAGTGGAGGCATAACCTAAAAAACACAAATAAAAGAGATGACGATTAAAATACATATGCAGAAAAATGCATTATTTCATCTCAACAATAATGAATTCCAAACTTGTAAACCTAAACCCTAAAACCTTAAGTACATATCCCAGCACACTGTTGTTTGATTAATCAGAGGACTGATTTTGTCCCTTATCCTTATGACCAAACCAATAAGCAAAACAACACAGTATCTAGTGTGTAAAAGGTGACCAATTCAAATTGCACTGTGTTAAAGTTGAACCATCCAATCTAAAACCAAATAGCTACTAGTGGAGAGGACCAAGACTTTATATGTTGAGATACACGAATTTGGATACCAGATGTAAGAGTTTTATATTTTCAACACTAACCCATGTGTGGCTGGTCTGAGCCAAACAGATGGATTAACTTATATATTGGATGACACGGAGCATGTACAGCCAAATTGGGCCTGAAATGTGGATAAATTGTCCCACTCACATACCTTGTCAGAGTTGGACAATGCAACCAAAAACCAGTGGATTATTAGAGGAGAAGCCCGTGGTTTATATAAAGAGATACAAGACTTAGACTATCTGATTTGAGATTTCTATATTCTCATAGAACTTAGAAGACATATCTACGTATGTACTTAAGATTATCAGTCATGATCCCACTATATTGTTAGACATGCAGGTCCTTACAAGGTTTACACCTTTGAACAAGAAAATAATAACTAAGCCTTGTCTGTGATATTTTGTGAAGCATGCACAATGGAACATGTGTTAATAAGCCCCCAATTTCCATATATGATAAATTGATGATGACGATTGCATCAAGGCTTCTGTTAATGGTGAATTGTAATTTCACCCAGGTACATCTAAACAAACCAAACTCAAACTCAAACTCATTTAATGATCCAAAACTAAATTCATTCACACATATACCACCAGAACATTTCAGTCCAAAAGAAATAAAATAAAAGAGAGATAATAGATATATAATTTTTCTTACCAGGGTGCGATTCAACAGAGAAGCAATTGCAAGAGCTGTTCTTATTTGTTTTATCTGAACAAAATCATTTAGAATAAAAATTATAAGATGTAACACTAAGATACAATCCCACACAATGTAAAAAGATTATGGAAGCAGGTTAGCACATACATACTTGGTAATTAATAAGAGTAAAATGTGATTTAACATTATGCTCCCCATCTAGCAACAAGCTCTTAGGAATAGACGGCTTAAATGACAAAAAACCTCCTGCGTAAATTTGCAAAGTCCTTGTTAAGAAAGATGTTAAGCGTCAATTGTATAAATAGTCATCAGTCAGAACAAATGTGCAGTAGTAGCGTATCCATGTATTCAAGTGATCAACTTTTCACTTCTAAATCACAAACTTATTGATTGCTGAAGAGGTTAGAAGTTCTGAAGGAAAAAGAGATTAGCTGGTGTTTTAATTATTAGAGATGGTCTAGTATTCCTATAGAATGTTCATTCCCCCAAATATTGTAGGTAATACCAAATTTTCAATTCTTCCTACTTTACCCTCTAATTCTCAGACGTACCATTCTATTCCAATGCTCATTCTAGCTACCAAACAGTACCTTGGTTTCTTAATGTGAAAGATCAAGTTCCATGAGATTGGAAGGAAATCTTGGCAGAGATGATGCAAAGGATGATACCGAACATTCGCATTAAGCAAGCAATTGAAAGAAAGATGCATCCTAATAAGATTTAGAAGATATCCAATGTACAGTACAATATCAATGATATTTCCTTTTAGTACCTGGTGCATCATAGTATTCTGGTGGGTCATAGAAAACCATGCCTTCCCGTAGTCGGTGGCGTTTTCCTTCAGTACCTGCATACTGGAATGTGGTATGCACTGCATATGGCTCCAATCTCAATTGTTGATGCATGGCCTGTCATTAAAGCGTTAAAGCTTAGGGCTTAAGTGAAACATAACCTTTTATAGCTTAGTTGCATTAAGTCCTTGAAAGACACCTAACTTTGACAGCAAAATTGATGAAAATAAGGAATAACACTGTAAATTGAAAAGATACCCAAACTATCAAATAAAAACTACAGGATCTACCTGGACAAAATATGTATGCCCACTACAAAATATACTCGCAGGCAGAACTCCCAGCTTGAGACTTCCATCAAAAGCATATACAAGTCCACTCTCTCCATCAACTGGTGGCCCTAACTGTCTTCGTACGAGATCATTAAACCCATTCTGGTCCCATATCTTCTCATCAGCTAGAAGCATATCTTTCCATTCCTTAGCCAATCTTTTAGCAGCATCTGTTGGCCGCCAGTGAAAAATTCCAATGTTGTACGCAGCACCAACTGTTATAGGTGAAGATACATCTTTTAAAATTCTCAAATTTTGATTTAACTTTAAATCTATTGATCATGAAAAAGAAACATAACCGAACAAATAACTTCTAAAATAAAAATAAACAAGGGTGACCAGAGACAAAGAGGGAGTCAAAATTAGACTGCACTAAACAATGTGGATAGAGTGTGAATGGTGAGCATATTAGTTTGACACGGGCACAACTCCTATGTTCAAAAATAAACACTGGGGTATCTTTTAAATCCAGGAACGGAGCTGCAGCAATATACATCATGTGTATGAATTCCAGAGTATACTACAGCCAACACTGACATATATATTAATCCAACTTGGTATGTACATGAAGAATATTCATATAGTGTTAAATAGAAACCAGAATAACATATTAGTATAGGTTCGTTAGGAGTAGGACAAAAAGCACATTCAGTAGTTCTTTTTCTTTTCTAAGTGCCTAAACATCCAAGAATAGTAATGAAGGTATCTACAAAAATAAGGAGAGTTTAGGATCCTATACTAGTTCCCTGATGGGTAGACCCATAGTAATCATTTGTGGTGGGACACATTTTTATATCACCAGATCTTATGCAAGTTATACTGAAATCCTCCTCATGGAAAAGCTGCAAACAAAGGATAAAGGAGATAGAAAGAGAAATATTAAAAAAAATCTTTACCTTGTTGCCAAATGTCCAGCCTGTCATCGGTGACCGTTGGTACAACTTGATCACTGGAAGTTAAGACATCTGCTTCTGCATAACGAGCAAGATACGGAAGTGGGTCCTGTTCCAAGAAAATTGATAACTCATAATGCCATACGAAGCAACTAAACAATTAAAAATTTGAACGCTAGCTAAAAAGTACCTTCAACCAAACCATGTCTGTATCACACATCAATAGTTCAAAACCATAAGGGAGAATTGAGTCTATCAGTATAACTTTTTCTCGTCCCATCTTGTGGAATGTTGGCGACCCCCATCCAACGTCTATTGTGCTCATGTGGCTGCCCATGTCAAATACCGGAACACCTTTCCAATACAAAGCCTCCAACAGTTTGGTGTCCATTGCACCTAAGCCACCAAGGTCAAACTCAGAGGTGCAAATGAAAATAGAAAGACAAGCACATTTTTTTTCCTTGGGAAGTGGAACAAGAAATGTATACAAATTGCAAAGGCTGTAAAGAAAGAAAAACGCACGCCTGAGAATATGGGGTAGCTTACCAATGAGAAGGTTAGAAAGCCCCCGATCAGTCAAGTGTTTAACCCAAGTCAGGATAAAATCCATGAATGCATAGTTCCCAAAGGTCACTATAACAACGTTATCCTTCACTCTTTGCTGAACTAGTTCTTTGCTCAGTCTAAATTTCTTCAAAGGTGGCATTTTCTTTGTGCGTGGGGGAGCTTCCCAAATAGGTCTTGTTGACATGCTTTGAGGCCCTACTGAAGGTGTGGCCATTGCTTGAACTATTTCTGGTTGAGAAACATTGGGTGCTTGCTCTAAAGGAGGAGAACCTAAATCTGTAACAATTCGTTCATTCACATAAATAAAACACATGCACGAAGAGGGAGAAGACTGGGATCATAGACAGATTGCTTATTGAATAAACGCAAGACATTGCAACAAAGGGTGCATTGAACAAAACAAAAAGTCCCGAGTTATACAATATTACTGACTGCAGGGTAATCGATAATAGAACGTCAAAATCACATACACAAAATCTGACGCATATATCCAATGCTTGGAGTCTGCTCAGAAGTCAAACACACATACTTAGACCGAACGGACTAAATCAGCTCCAATGGCAACTCCAAAACACAACGGCAGTAACCACAATGTGTAAAATTCACACTCTTGGTGTATAAGAAGAAACAAGAAGCACAGAGTTGATCGCCTTTAGTTCTACCCAACCCGAAAAGATTATAAAAAAATACCAAAGGTAGAAAATTTGATCATATAATTCCTAAATGAGGTTGCATTCATGTTCGCCGGTTACGATGTAATAGCTGAATCAGTTTCATCACTTGGACATGTAAGCAAGGAGTTGAAAATTTGTACTTGGTTAGAAAGACAAGGTCCATTGCGTTAATTATTAACTGAGCACATATGTGCTGAATTATTAAAATCTCAAACCCCCGTTTCGAATATGCAATGTAAGTGATAAAGATTGAAGCTTTTGCAGAAAATGAATTGAAAGGTACTTCACTTGTAAGCAAATCAAGAGAGAGGGATAGAGGGGGAACTGACGGGAAAGCCAGGAGGTGGTGGAATCAGCGGCAGACTTGCCGGAGTAGATGGCGGATATCACATACAAAGACGAGAAGACGATCCCAATTATTACGGTGGCGTATATCGTCACGAACACTGGCTTCGCCTTGTCGAACGCATTCTTCCACGCCATTTTTCTGCTTTTTATTGGGATTTTTGGTTTATTTGGTCACCATTCCCGCGTCATTATCTTCTTCCTTCTTTCGTCTGGGAGGAAAAACGAGAAGAAAGAAACTGAAACCCTAATCGAAATCCCAATCAATCAATCTGAATCTAAGAAGAGAGAGAGGGAGAGATTTATTTCAGTTTTTCTTCTGAGCTGCTCTCACAGGCTGCCCAACTGCCAAGGTCAACTCTTCTAGGCACCATGTTTGTCCCATCCTTCACCCTATTATTTTTTTAATACTGAAAACCCACATGATTACCAAAAAGGATTAACTTGGCTCGATGGCTGATGAGAGTTCCTCCCCATTCACTTTTGCTACGTATTCCTCGATTTCAATCGTACGGAATTCATCCTCTCTTGAACTTGGGCTTAAGAGTTTGCTGCCTAATGGATCATTGAATTTGATCAAATAATTACGAACAAGAGGTATTTTAGAAGTTATAATAATTGTAATCGTTGAATTAAAATCCAACGATCCTTATGTGTTAGTCAGGAGGTTCCTGAGTCCAAGCTCAGGAGAAAATCCAATTCCCAATCTTACGATCGAAATCGTTTAATATTAAAATTATATTATATCTGTGAAAAAATAATACAATATAAAATCATTTGATGATCAAACTATACAAAAATAAATAGACAAATTCTGTAAAATTATCATTAATCATTTATTTATTTGTGATTAAATGACTTTAATTCGAAGAATTTTAATTGATTTTTATAAATTCCATTTGAATTTCAAAAGTGAATTCTAAGTGGATTTAATGGAGTTTGTGAGTTTTTATTTTTTATTTTGAACAATTTTTGTGAATTCTATTAATTTTAATCTTGACCATTAAATGCATTTGAAGGGTTAGAGTGTGCCACATTGTTCATACTCATTGCAATGTATTTACCCATTTTTTCAGTGAATAACTATTTTTCTCTCTTTTCTCTTTGTTTTTCTTCTACAGCTGCATATTTACCCTCAATTTCATCTCTCATCTCTCATCTTTCCTGTAAAAACTAACTAAATTGCAACTTTGTGATGTCGTGAAATTACTAAAATTGAAGATCAGAAATTATACCTGATAAACAAATTACAGGTCGAAATCATACCAAAAAGTTGCATCTCCTTTGCACCTACATCCTCCTATGTGAAAAACCATGGTATTACCATATAAGCAATCTTTTTATAAAACCAATGCTTTGGGACAACCAAATTTCTCTCCAACGAAGTCACTAGCCATCACAACCTGCAAGCAATTGCCAAGTATTTTGAGATTCATTGTAGGATACACACTGGCTTAAACATTTAGGCTTGTGTTTTCATGCAAAGACAAAATCATGTTTTGAGATTAGAGGGACGATCGTACTTCTTGGTTGTGCAGTAGTTAGGGAGACTCGGATTCAATTGTGGTTGAATGAATGAAGGTGGGAAATGAGACTTTTGTGATTTGGATGAGGCATGCAATGTGACGTGGAGGAAGCCGGAGATGAAGATGATGAAAATGGGAGAGCAAATGATTGTGATGGTGAGAGTGATAAATCAGTAAGATATCATGAGAAACAAGGTAAGACAAACTCATCAAAATCTTATAGAAAAAGGCAAGATTTATTATGGCTTAATTTACAATATAAACTCCAAAATCCATCACTTTTAAAAATCGTATCAAATCAATGATATTTGGAATACACATAAACTTTTGTAAATTTATTTAAAATCATAATTGAATACATTAATGGTTTTCTATAATTTTTTGTAAAATCATTTGAGATCTTGATTGAATACTTTGGTATTTTCATAAATTCATTTACACATTGTGTTTGGATGAGAAATTCCAAAATGACAGAAATAAAAATGACGGAATCTTATTTTCTATAATTTGTCAATTTTCTTATTTAGTTAACCTAAAAGAATAATGAATACAAAATTTAACGAGTGTATAGTGATGAGTCGTTTTTATACTATACATTTTTCTCTATTTTCTCTTTGTTTTTCTTCCACAGCTGCATGTTTACCCTTGGTTTCATCTCTCATCTCCCCTCTTTCCTATAAAAACTAACTAAATTGCAACTTTGTGATGTCGTGAAATTATTAAAATTCAAGATCATAAAGTTATAATTCTGGAACACTTACATACATTTGTTAAATTTTTCGTCAAAACCTCGATTAATTGATGATGCGGCATCCACGTAGACAATGATTAGACATCACATGGAAATTAAACTAAAGTAAATCTCATTTTACTATCTTGAAGTTTCTTGGTTTTCAACATTTCATACTTCAAGTTTTTTTCATCCTAGTTTGGTACCTAAAGTGAATTCTTGGACAGTTTCATACATATGTTAAACTTTCTGTTAAAACAGCAATTAACATGTGACGTGGCGCCCACGTAAATGATGACTAGGCGCCCCGTGTCAATCTAGGACCCACGTGAATATTAAAAAAATTTTAAAAAAATGAAGGGATTGAAAACTTCCCAATATGAGAATTTTAATCTTTTGCATTAAATGAATTTATATGAATTCTATGAATTTAAATCCTGACCATTAAATGCATCTGAAGGTTTAAAATTGTCACATCATTCATACTCATTGCACTGTACTTGATGCGTACTTGTTGCAGGTATGATTTTATCATTTCAACAATACGAAATTAGTTACAGAGTTATATGACTATGAGTTATAGAGTTAGTTTACCAACTTCAATTTGATTTGGTTTGTAACCTTAATTTCTATCATGAATCTTGATGCATCATTTTACTTATATTTATATATTATATGTGTGTCTGAATATGTTCAATTTTTCTATATATTCTTTGGTTCGTTTATTCATGTTGAGATATGTTATTATTGTTGTTCCCGTAAATGCAAATTCAAATTATGTGCCTTCGTTTCATGTGGAATCAATAAAAATATTTCAAGATTTTAGTTTCGTACAGTAAATGGGGGTTTCTCTTTAAGCATTTTGTAATGTATAATGTATTGCTATCATCATGTGTTTCTATCAAAGTTCAAGTTTTGCACCATCACCGTCAGCCTATCTTATGCAGACTTCACCTCTAAGCCTCTAACAAGAAATATCAATGTCAAGAAGCTTACAAACTTTCAGTTTATTGGGAACAGACTCGCGGATTGAACCTTTGCATATATTTTTAGCCCCTTTTGTGCAATGTAATTTTTGCGGTCTTTCACTTTGATGATGCTATTTATTATTACTGTTGTTTCTAACAAATGTATTTACGCTGCCTTCCCTACCACATTCTCATTCCCAGTCCATTTCATTAAATTGCTCCATCATGGTTCGGATCCTTGCTTCCCACTACCGTGGAATTTGCATAATTTCTTTGCAAGATCAACTTGTAATTTGTATATGTGATAGGTTTTGATTAAATTGACTGATTTCTGTACATGATGTTGCCTTTCTATTGATTAAAGTCTTATTTTTTTGTTACCTCCCATGTAACTTGAACTTAATGTTTTTTTTTTTAAATTAAAATATCACCACTTTATACCTAAAACTCAATGTTCGCTTCATTTTGACAGGATTTCGTCTATTCCCATTACATATTTGTTAAGTTGCTTAGGTGGCACAAGTCTAATGCTGACTTATGATACCATCCACTAAAAAAAAGCTACCTGTCATACTAAAAAGGAAAAGTATAAACACCCCATTAAACCCAGAAATCTTTCAGCACCACTGACCCTCACTGTCGAAAATCAGGGACATAACAAGGACAATGCCAACTTTCTCAAGTTTTTGATTACCAAAGATGAAATTTTTAGTTTTTCGAACTTTTTTAGGTAGGGGGTTCTGTACCATGTGATGTTTTCTATTTTATATGAAGAAAGTGTTAGTACGTTCAAGGAAATACTAAACTCGAAAACAAAGAGAGAGAGAGAGAGAGAAGGCATGGATGAGAAATGAAGAAGGGTTCATTGAAAAGGATGGAAACAAGCATGATTACACATCTTGTTTTTGTCTATTTATTTGCCTTTAATTTATTCAAACTTACTAATATTAAAACAAGAACGAAAGTAAGAGGACAACAAAGGAAGAGCGGAAAAATCAGTTCCTTGCTTTTAAACTATATTGTGCCAATCTTAAATTAGGTTATTCCAATTCCAAAAAATAAAATGAAACTTGCATGTATCATGAGGCTGGCAGTATACAAGTACACCGGACTTGATTTTGAGATTGTGGTAATAAATTAGAGGGGAGGAAGGAAAGCAAAAGGGAGTAGAAGTGATATTTATGATATGCAGCTACTTATATGAGGATTCAATGGTTGAAAATGATGTGTAATAAGTGCCTTAGTTTTGTTTCCTTTCCATGCATGTGGATGTGGTTGCCATTTTTACCAATTGTCATTAAGGATGGTATTGGTACGGTTATCGTACAAAAATTCATGTACCAATTACCATACCAAACTTTTGGTATGACAAAATATATTACAATTATTGTGCCAAACTTTCGGTCTATTGATTTTCGACATGCCAAATGGTTCGGTTGGCATGGTATGGTAATGGTAATTACCATTTTGTTTTGGACCATTCTTTTGGGCCAAAATTTGATTTTTTTTTTTTTTTCTTTTTTAACAACCCAATTTAAGGTCCAAACATGTTTTGGCCACTCCCTTTGGGTATCTAAAACTTTTTTATTTAATTATTAGAATTTTATAGAGATTCATTTAAGAAACAAGAAGTAAATAGATGGAAGAATTACTAAAAGAATCCAATATCCCTAAAAAAAATAGTACAAAGATTCATAAATTCCATCTCTACATTCTTTAAAATTGTACAAAAATTAACTTGATAGACGAAGCCAGGGAAAGACATCCCAATTTGATGAAGAGAAGATGAGATGGACTCCGGAGAGAGAGAGAGAGTCGCCGGAACTAGAGTAACAGAGATGAAGTTGGTGGCTAGATGAGTGAAAAGATGAAGAGTCGCAAAACAAGAAAGCTAATGTTTTTTTATTGGGAAAGTAGAGATTAGAGTGTGAGATGATTGGATAAATGATTAGGAAAAAAATATAAAGCGCATATATAATGATAATAATACCTAATTATATATAAATGAATAAATAAATGATATAATAGTAATAGTAGTGGTACGGTACGGTATACCACTGGTAATGATTTTGAATACCATTACTGTACGAAAAATGTATGGTCCAGTACAAATATTGTACCATTACCAATGGTACAAATTTTTTGGCACAACTTTGGTATGGTAATTTGGCAAAAAATTCCACCCCTACTTATCATATAATTTCAGCATTGTATCCTTATAATTTTTTAGAGGAAAGACACATGCAATTTTGACCTAAAAGTGAGTAAGTCATATGTGGTGAAAGACAGAAACATCCACTCAAATTTTCACAAATCCACCTCGAACTCAATTTTGGCATTCGTCATCGTATATCTGAAAAATACAACACTTTCAGTACAATGTGTCAGTTGAAACTAAATATTAAACACACCACAAAGTCTAAAGTTAGATCGAACTTGAAATTTCTTCTCCTTAGAAACAACCATTGTGAGATCAAAATCAAGCTGATTGATGAACTCTATAGTTGTGGCATGTTTTTTATTTATTTATTTTTTTTCCTGAAGTAGAGCATGACATTCATTAATGTAGGTCAAAATGAATAAATACAAAGACGATAGAGCGTTTTATTGGGGTCTTGATAAAATCTAACCAATAATTTCAATGAAGAAAAAAGAATTTCAATAGTCTTTTTCTTTTTCATTTTTTCAAGTAATTAAGAAATTCTTCCGTCTCCTCCGAATTCTCCTCCACTTCGTCCAAAAGCCACGGAGCACTCGAAATTCTGCGGAGGGGAACCTGCTACTCCTGCACACAATCTGGGGAGAAGATGAAAGGTATCGACGATGAACCTGCTGATGCAGAGCACTTCCACACTGCTCTTGCAACACGCAATTCATCTGCTTTGCGTTCTTTGAGGAAAGGCGATACATTCACTCTCGGGAGTCTAACGTTCAAGGTCACTGAAACTTTCGGAGAACGTTGTGTGGTTTACCCTGAAATCTTTTGCCAGGGGGAACCCGTGAGAAGGGAGGATGACGTCGATGGTGTTTGGAAGCAAATGGCTCAAATCCGTGAAGTGATCGAGCTGCCCGTAAGTTATTCGGAGCTTTTTACATCAGTTGGTGTGAAAGCTCCAGAAGGAATTATGCTTCCTGGACTTCCGGATTCAGGAAAGGCACTAATAGTCAGAGATAATTATGCTGGTGGAACAAATGAGCACTTCCATAATGCTCTTGCAACAAGCAATCTGGCTGCTTTGCATGAAACAGTGAGTGTTTCTTGTCTTTCTTTTCTGATTTCTTGTTATCCTTGCATGAAACTGTGACTTTTCTCTGTATTTGTGTGTTTTATGCTTCGCTTATATGCATCCAGCGTTGGAAAGTGACACGATAAAGTGTCATGATAGACTGATATACTGATAGCTACCGTTCATCAATTTAATACCGGCCTAACAGATTGAAATAAGTGTTGGAAAATAGCACATTGTATCTAGTTCTTGTTCAGCCATTAGAATTTGCCCTTGGTCAAGAATTAGGGTTGGAAAAGCATGCTGCTAAACATAACTTGATCCTTTAGCCTGTATACTTTTCAAATCTTTGTTGCAACATGCATACTACGAATACATTATTAGATTTACCCAATTGTTATTTCCTTCCATGTATGATGGCAAATTATTACTTTACATTTTCTGTTTTTTTTCTTCCTTTTACTGTGAACCCTTAAACTAAAATATGTATCTGATGGAACTTGACAATGTTATTTCTTTAGATTATGTATACATACGGGATGATTAGTCATTTTATACGAGAGCTGGGTGGCGAGAGTGGTGGAGAGAGCAGCATCAGTGCTAGGTATGATGAAATTAGAAGTGATGATGGCATCGATGAACGTGCTAGTGCCAGTGGTGGTGGGGACGACGAGGTTAGCAGTCAGGATGGCAACGATGAACAAAGTGCTGATGAAGAAGATGTACCAAAGCCGCCCACTGCTTCTACTAGGTTTGTTCACACTTATATCAAACCTTTATGTTCAAACACCTGATATATCTGACTTTTTTGAATTTGTTTTGTTTAGATCCGCATGGGGTAGAGTTGCCCGATGGACCATTGGTGTGTCAATCCCACTAATAGCAGGGAGCGCCACTATAGTGTCTACAAGGTCAAGGGGCATCACTTTTGATGTGTTCAATTTCTTTACGAACGGACTATCCTTTTTAATGTTGTTGCTCGCTACAATCATTTTGGGGTTAGTATTTCAGACATTCTCTTTTCTGAATTCAATGTGAATTAGTTTGTTTATTAACACAATGTTAAATTTCATGCTGCAGGACACCATTTCCTACATTGACACCTTCCCTGTTCATACGCATAATGGGTCTTCATGTATTCGAGTAAGTAATTACATAGGGAAAAACAGATTTAGTTCTTTTCAATACAGGTTTAGCTTTATAATAACTATAGTATAACTGTTTTCCATTTCGTGAACAGGCCTTTATCCCAGATTTGGTTGTCTTTTGGTGCCCAATTCTTGCCAGCCCAATTTACTGTTTGCTTGCAATCGGTTGTCCCCGCGTTGACATACTTGATCTCATTAATCTTCAGGTGCGCTTCAACCTTGTTCAAGTTAAATAACACTGCATTAGAAGCTAACTTATTATTTACCGTTGTGATAACAGGATACAGTCGATCTCTATTCGCAAGAAGAGCGACCAAGCAAAACTGGGGGGTCTAGTAATAACTTTTTGTGGGGCGTTCTTGATTGGAAAATATAATGGCCCCACCATTGCAGCTCATCGACTTGTCAATGAAAACTGGACGTGGCCATTGTGTCTTGTGATCGCTTCAGTACTGTGCTCAGCTTGCCACAATGTACTCATGGTAAGAATATTTCAATTTTAGATCATAAGTTGATTTATAATCTTTAAAATGGTTTTGGTCTATTTGTTTGTTAATGGCTGTTAAACGTGGTGGAAATTATATAGCTCTTCTTTCAACTCTATTTTTTTAGGAAAACACCATGGAGAAGTATGACGTCGAGGCTCTATGGCTTGCAACTATAGTACGGTTTTCAGCTGTGATCCCCAGCCTCATTATTGCCCTGGTCACCACTCGTGGACGAGCCTACAAGTGGGTTATGGGTTGGGACTTCAACACGTTTTGCTGGGTATTTGCGGTTAGTTTCATAAACTAACAACATCTATATTATGAAGCAACTTATGTTAGTTTACAGTTTGTATTTTGTTTACCTTTCTCTTGTAGGGCATTTCTGCTGGTCTAGTGCAGTATTTGGGGACCAATTTGACGAAGAAGACGGATGCTGTATTTGCGTCCTCATTCACCCCGATATCCATGATTTTAGTTATTGGGCTGTCAGCTATGATCTTGCATGATCGCATAAAAAAACCGAGGTAAAATCTGCAAACTTAATTCTAATAGGCATTAATTGAGTTATTTTTGAAGTTGATTGATAACAAAGTGCATCATTGAATTTTCAGTATTGGGGGTGTCATAATGATCGTGATTGGGCTTTTCATTTTTCATTGGGGAGAATATCGATCAACCTCTAAGGAGGAGGCTCGAGCTGAGGAGGAGCATTTGAGGTGGAGGCTCAATCTGCAGAGGAGGTTCAAGCTATGGAGGACATTCGAGCTGTGGAGGAGGTTCGAGCTGATGAGGTAGTTACACTTATCGTTTCTTTTATTTTTATATGTTTTAATCTAATTATTTGTTGTTGTTGTTTGTTCATACAGGAGGAACCTTATGCATGTGCAGAAGGAGGAGCATTCTGTATGAACTGCTCACCTCCACCATAACCCAAACCTCTGAAAAACCAAGCCCATTAATAAAGGCATGACCAGAAAACTGCTAAGGCCGCCACAGAACCCACAGCCCAAGCAGCATGCCACGTCCCAAGAAGACGAATTTCTTGACAAGTGCGTGAAAGATTTCAAAAAGACACTCATTTGTTGCAGTTTGTAGCTTCTGCAGATCAGTATGCTGACATTTTCACAAAAGGATTGTGTTCTCTTTAGTTTAGTGTTCACTATCAAGTGCAAAGAGTGGCAATGTGTCATTGTATCAATGGGAGTGTGTTGAGTTAGTGTAAAAAGACTCTGTAATCATTATCCAATTATTGAATGAAAGAAGCAGTTATACAGTTTCTTCTGTCTTCGATTCTTCTGATTTTTTCGGCTTCTCTCTTACATTTCTTCAGATTACATTTCACTGTTGGCATGACATTGAGTGTGCTGGTTGTAAAGGTCATTTTCCTGAGCCTACCCATGATCCTGTTATCCAGGTTCTGTTCTGGTCACTCTTGGTGTCTTAAACAAAGCCTTAGGTCACCAACTAACCTAGTTACTTTGCTTGGAGAAAATCGGCCATTTATTCGTATGTTGAATTGCTCTGCTATAGTTGGTATTGGTGTGATGTCTTTTGATACAGGAAGACAATTATTGCTGGTGGCTTGGAGCCTTGGAGAATAAGATAATTGAGCATACATACTCTTTCTTTTGCTCTGCTATAGTTGGTATTGATGTTCAATAGCTCTGCTGTATTTGTTTTTGTTTTCTATAGTTACCATGTGTAATTGTATGCCACAAGGGAAAGGAAAGAAGCATACATATTTGAGAGTAGCATTGGAGATGAATATTGCAATTGTATGTTTTTTATACATGCATCCTTCTCGGTTGTATAAATAGAATATTGTCTTTGCTGGACTGATTTTTTCAGTCTTTCAAGTGCAATTCAGATTGCAGATTTATGGGCATGATTTTTGGGAAGATAATAAAAAATTACAAACGATAAACACACATCCTTTTTAGTTCGGGGAGTTTTGATCTAGGTGCTTGACTTTTGAATACGTGTGTCCGAATTTGTTCAACTTTTTTTATATATTCTTTGGTTCGTTTGTTCTTGTTGAGGTATGCTGTTGCTGTTGTTTCCGCAAATGCAAATTTTGTGCCCTTGTTCAAAATATTTGAAGATTTCAGCTTCGTAGAGCAAATGGGGTTTTCCCTTTAAGCATGTTGTAATGTATAATGTATTGCTACATCATGTGTTTTTATCAAAGTTCAAGTTTTGCACTGTCACCGTCAGCCTATCTTATGCAGACTTCACCTCTAAGCCCCCAGCAAGCAAGAATGCAGACTTCACCTTTAAGCCTCCAGCATGTTAGACAAATAAGGAATATGGTTGGAATCCTTGTGTAATTGTATATAATATTAGTATTGGAAGAATAAGCCGTCCTACAGCCGTCAAACCGTCCTAGCTTGTCTCCTAGCCGTCCTAGCTTGTCACTAGCCGTCCTAGCTTGTCACTAGCCGTCCTAGCTTGTCTCCTAGCCGTCCTAGCTTGTCTACTAACCGTCCTACCTTGTCCTACCTACACATTTGTATCATGTATATATATCCTTGTAATCTTGTAGAGAAAGATAATGAAAAAATAAGCATTCTCTTCCATAAGCATTCTCTTCCATTTGCATTCTCTTCCATTTTTCCACATTTATGTATCAATAACAAATATAATTTTTAGCCTACACACCTTTTTCTACATGGTATACAGAGCAGGTTTATAACCCTAGCCCTAATTTTTTTTTCGGCAGCTTTCTCTGTCGTTCCCATGGCTGTTCGTGGCCCGTCCCGTCCCTCCTCTGCTCGTCCTCCCCTCCACTGCACCTACTGCAATTTTGATTATCATACCCGAGACACCTGCCATAAACTTCATGGCTATCCCGTTGGCCATCCCCTCCATGGCCAACCGTGGCGACCACCGCGCCGTGCCACTGCTTCCAGTTCTTCCCGCAGCCATGCACCTTCCAGTCCTCCCCAGCAGCCACGGTTTTCTGCTTTCCGGCCCCATAATTTCACCCAGGCCCATCACGTGCAAGGCACCCAGGCCCTCGCCTCCTCTTCTACTCCAGCGACCCACCAAGTGCACGGGACCCAGCCCACTTTGCATGACTTGCAGCTTGTCATGCCTGACCTCTCTGCCGAGCAGCACTCCCGTGTTCTAGCTGCTCTACGTGACACCACCACCCCTCCTCAGGCCAATGCCGTGCTCACTACTGATTTTGCCCAAGGTTTGTTACCTGTCACCTCTCGTCATGGTCAATGGATTCTTGACAGTGGTGCTACGGATCATATTACTTCTTCCGCTTCATGTTTGGTTAATCGTTCTCCTTCACATTTGCCGCCTGTTTCTTTGCCTAGTGGTGCTTCCGCTCCCATTACTTTTACCGGCACTCTTCCTTTAAATTCCTCAGTTACTTTGAAGGATGTTTTATGTGTCCCTAATTTCCGAGTGGACCTTTTATCGGTTGGTAAACTTACAGATGGATTATCCTGTTCCATAACCTTCTTTCCTTCTTGGTGTGTTTTGCAGGACTTGGTTTCGAAGGCGATGATTGGTGTGGGTAAGCGACGTGGCGATCTGTATTACCTTGTGGCCCTTACCTTTTCTTTCCCCACCCATCAACCTCTCTGCAACATCATTACCATCCCCTCCTCCCTCTGGCATAGGCGTCTTGGTCACCCCTCCTCCACTCGTTTGCAAGCTTTAGCATCTAGCTCTCTTAATTGCACTTTTGATTCTAGTCATATTTGTGATGTTTGTCCGTTGGCAAAACAAACTCGTCAACCTTTTCCTTTGAGTTCAATTTCATCAACTTTCCCTTTTGCTTTAATTCATTGTGATATTTAGGACCCGAATCGTCAATCTTCTCTTTCTGGTGCTAATTATTTCTTATCCATTGTGGATGATTTTTCTCGCTTTACGTGGGTCTTCCTCATGAAACATAAATCCGACACTCAACAATTAATTAAGGATTTTTTTGCTTATGTCACTACCCAATTCCGCACTACCATCCAATGCATTCGTACTGACAATGGTGGTGAATTTTTATTTCTTCGTAGTTTTTTCTCTGATCATGGGGTGCTTTTACAAACTTCTTGTGTTTATACCCCCCAACAAAATGGCGTTGTTGAAAGAAAACATCGTCATCTTCTTGAAACCGCTCGCGCCCTTCGTTTTCAATCCCATCTTCCTATCAAGTTTTGGGGGGAATGTGTTCTTACCGCTACTTATCTCATCAATCGTCTCCCTACCCGTCTTCTCCATCATAAATCCCCATTTGAGGTTCTATTTTCGAAAACCCCATCTTATGACCACTTCCGCGTCTTTGGTTGTCTGGCATATGCCACCTCTGTCACTCCCACCACCAAATTTTCCCCTCGGGCTCATCGTTGCATTTTTCTCGGTTATCCTCATGGACAAAAGGCCTATACCCTTTACGATCTCGACAATCACCGCATTTTCACTAGTCGAGACGTCATCTTTCACGAAAGTACTTTCCCTTATGCCGTTTCTCACCCTCCTATCCCATCCTCTTCGCCTACCCTACCCATCCCACCCCCTCTGGACTTTACATATAACTCACCCCTTCCTGCCCCCGACGCCTCACCCTCCTCCACCTTCCTCCCCTTCCACGCCTCCCACAGATTCCCTTGCTGCCCCATTACCCGTTCCTCCCCATGCCCCTGCCCTCTCGGCATCCCCTCCTTCCCCCCCCCCCCCCCCCCCCCCGCTACTTCCTTACCATTCACCCTTTTACCCACGGACATCCCTACCCCCCCACTACCTACCAATCCTCCCCTTCCCCGCACCTCTTCCCGTGCCCATAAACCTCCATCCTATTTAAAAGACTACGTTTGCTCGCAGGTGATTCTGCCATCCCACCCATCTTCGACTTCGCAACCCGGTTCTACACAAGGTACGCGATATCCACTTTGTAATTTTCTCTCTTATCACCGTTACTCTCCCCGACATTTTTCTTACATTAACTCTGTCAGTCGGACTATGGAGCCTTCCTCCTTTGCCGAGGCTGCTACTGACCCTAATTGGCAACGTGCTATGACTGAGGAGCTTCAAGCTTTACATGCTAATGGTACTTGGACTTTAACTTCCTTGCCACCTGGCAAAATTCCCATTGGTTGTAAGTGGGTGTACAAACTCAAGCACAATTCCGACGGCTCTATTGACCGCTACAAAGCTCGTTTGGTTGCTAAAGGCTTCACTCAGGCTGAAGGTATTGATTATCATGACACTTTTTCTCCTACTGCTAAGATGATTACGGTGCGTTGTCTTCTTGCTCTTGCTGCTAGTCAGTCTTGGTCTCTTCATCAGCTTGATGTTAATAATGCTTTCTTACATGGTGACTTACATGAAGAAATCTATATGTCTCCTCCTCCTGGTCTTCGGCGACAGGGGGAGAATCTTGTGTGTCGCCTTCACAAGTCACTTTATGGTCTTAAGCAGGCTTCTCGCCAATGGTTTGCCAAATTCACCAGTGCCATCATTTCTACCGGTTTTCAACAATCCAAAGCTGACTATTCATTGTTCACTAAAAAGTCTGGTATTTCTTTCACAGCTTTGCTCATTTATGTGGATGATATTGTGATTACAAGCAATGATGCTAGTGCCATTAATTCTCTGAAGTCTTTTCTCCGTGATCATTTTCGGATAAAAGACCTTGGTGATTTAAAATATTTTTTGGGTATTGAGGTTTCTCGTTCCAAACAAGAGATTTATATTTCTCAACGCAAGTATGCATTAGAGATTCTCAAGGACTATGGTTTTTTGGGAGCACGACCCATTGCTTTTCCTATGGATGACACAAAATTATCTGATAAAGGAGAACTTCTCAAGGATCCTGAAAAGTATCGACGATTAGTAGGTCAGTTAATATATCTCACTATCACTCGGCCGGATATCACCTATTCTGTGCATGTTCTAAGCCGTTTTATGCACGAGCCAAGGATATCTCATATGGATGCTGCGCTTCGTATTGTTCGTTATTTGAAGGCTACTCCAGGTCAAGGTTTATTATTTCGTTCTGACAACCAGACCAAGTTAACTGCGTTTTGTGATTCTGATTGGGCAGGTTGCCCTATCACTCGCCGTTCGACTACTGGGTATTGTGTATTCTTGGGCGGTTCTTTGATTTCTTGGCGGACGAAACGACAGAAAACCGTTTCGCTCTCTTCAGCAGAGGCGGAATATAGGGCCATGACAGGTGCTTGTTGCGAGATAGTTTGGCTTCGTTTTTTGTTGAAGGATTTGAACATTCCTTTGGATGGTCCTTCCATTTTATTTTGTGATAATCAAGC